TGAAAATAGTGTAGAGTGTGAAGTTGTAGGTGGGGTTGAATTGGTTCAGGCTTATGTTAGACTGTAGCACTGTGAACCAAATACATGTTTTGTAGGGGGGGGCTTCTGTGAGAATTGAGGGTTAAAGGTCACACCAGGCAACATTAAAATCAAAACTCCTCTGTCTGAATATGGATTATACATATATCTTAATAGAGAATTTCATTAGGTTTAAACAAGCCCCATATGAGCTTTGTACAGAACAAATGTTATAACTTCTAGCCCCCAAAATTAAATTTTTATGATTTTTAGCTCCTGCCTCACAAAAACTGCAAGATATTGGTGCTTAAATTTTGCATAGTTATTGCTCTGAAATGTTGGGCTGTTTCAGAAAGTGGTTTGGTGATGATGGTGAAATTATATCGCTGCCAGACCCATGCAGACTGGTTCCTTTCCACCCCCCTGTGTGTGATGAAGTAAACTCCATCCTGGATGTTGAATATAAGCTGGTAAATATCTGTGTTTTTATGTATCTATGCATTTACGCACGCAGTGTATCGATATCAGAATTCAATTACAGCCCCCATAATGTCCATTTCATCCTCTATTCCCAATTTTATTCTAAAGGTATTTTGGTTTCATTGCTTCTTCTATATGTCTGTGTTTTCCTTGATCTGTCATATTTTTTTGGACTTTTATGAGGAATCTAGTTCCACTTTTATTTGGCCAACTTTTTTCAGCCAATTATTGAAGAAGGATGACTGATTGTGAGATGTGTACAAATATTGGTTTTCTATTTGTGTATCTTTTGTATGTGGATTTTAATTAGGAAAGTCTGTTCTATCTTGACAGTTCTGTCAAAATGATAGTTTGTGACTGATGTGTACAGTTTTACATGCATATGTACAGAAAGGAAGTGATTTCCTTGGTATTGAAAGGGTTAAGATGAAATACGTTGGCTCAGTATAATAAGAGAATGTGTCACAATATGTCTTTTCATATATTTTACATGTTAGTAGATTTTTATTATTCTATCATTTGATGCTATAGTCTATAGTCAGATCTTGTGACTGGGATACTGGGAGCGACCCGTTCTTCAAGTGCCTGAGCACTGCGGGTGTCAACTTTTCGTTGGCTTGATCTATAGACATTTGGTAGGACTCCTTGGACGAGGGATTGGCCCGTCTCAAGGCCTCTACCTGTACACAGGACAGCACAACACAGAAAAACGCGGACAAACATCCACGGATTGAGTGGGATTCGAACCCACAGTCCAAGCGACACAAGGCCCACGCCTCAGATCGTACGGCCACTACAGAGCCCAGATCTTGTGACAGTATTGTTAATTAAACAGCAGATAAATATGTAAGTAGGTAAGGGCGTTGAGAAGTGCTTACAAAATTTTGGGCAGGAAATTTCAAGGACATCAACGATATAGATGTCATTTGGTGAATAATATTAAAATGGACATAAAAGAGATAAGTCATGAGGAATAGATCCAGGTGGCTCAGGATATGATCTGGTGATGCATTTTTGTGAATACTGTTATGAATCTTTGGGCTTCATAATAGCAATGCCTTTATTAACCGTCTGAGTTTTAGTCAACTTCTCAGTGGAGATTTTGTACAATTAAATTAGTTAGTTATGATGCAAATATGGATTTATACTTTGGATTTTCAAAGAAGCAGCAAGTGATGTGTATTTTTATTAACACTGAAGTTGTGCAGAGTACACTGACAGTGTTTCTAAGGCAGATATCCCACTTATAACATTGAACAGGCTAAAACTTACTGTTATTTCAGGCAACAATCAGTGATTTTGAGAACAAATATATTGTTCAGCCTGGAGACATTGGTGTTGAGGATCGCTATCTGCTCGAAGTAGACATCTGCTCTGTGACATTCAGTCATCACCCACTGTTCAGTCGAGAGCATGTTTTAGCGCAGCGCGTAACTGAACTCTACCTCAAGTACAGTGAACGTGCAGTGCTGGGACAAGGTCAGAGGCTGGCGGGCCGACTCGAGGCTCTCCGTATAGCTCGAGACAGCTTGAAGAAGGTTCTCAAACAAGCGCCTGATGCCAGTCAGCAACAGTTGGAGAGATTACAGAGGTCAGGGTGACCATTATCTTACTTTAACAACTGATTGTATTGTTTCAGTGGTTAACACTCCTGCTTCATATTCAGGAGGTCATGGGTTTGAATATCAGCCCAGAGACTAGCTGTTATGACTAAGGTTTTTGTAGTCTTTATCTGTTTATGTAGGCAAATGCTGAGCTAGTACTTTGAGTTGTACTGTCACCATATCCTTTTCAATTCTCTCGAATTAATTGCTTACCAATGTTATAGCATTTTATATTATATATTCTCTGAAGTTGAAAAGCAGTTGAAAAATTATCATTAAATAATATGGAGGTCACCGAATCAGTCAACTTCCCTTAAAACTATTTTAAAAAGAAAGAAAATGGTAATTATTTAATTCTGTTAGGAAAATCTATTTATTAGACTTTCTTTTATTTTCACCAGACAAAAGTGAGACTATGTTACTGGACAGAAATTCTGATGGATTTTGAGAGTTTGGTTACTGGCTATCCTGACTGAGATTTTGCATGGTTTTCCTCGGTCTATCCAAGCAAATGATTTCTTCCAAGTATACCATACATACATAATTATTTTCATATTACATTTAATGTTATTTAACCTCTGCAAATGATGAGCAGCGGTAAATAACGTAAAAAGTAACCAGAAATGGTGCCCCTTGCATCACTATGTTTTGTTTGTTTAACTAATAAGACAGTTATGAAACACAAGAATGAATGGTGTTGGCCACAAGCATGTCATTTCTTTGTGTTATATTATAGATATGTTGCTGAGATCCGTGAGACACGCCGGTTGCGACAGATGGAGGGGTCCAATGATCGCCAGCTGTTGAGTAATTTGCTGTTGACTTGGCGTGACCTGAAGAAGTTAAGGGAACTTCAGGGTTACACATCGACACCACTTCGATTGCAGATTCACAAAGAGTTTTCTGATGATCCAGCTGCTGAAATCAGGGCATGGGACGAGGAGATTCGCAAGGAAATAGATGAACTTGAGGAAGAATATCAGGAAGAATACAACACGCAACTGGATGAATATTCAAAAAAGCTGGCTGTGTGGAAAAAGAGAAGAAAGGCAATGGTAGGACTCCATGAAACCTGCTATACAAACCAGTGTTCTTAACATTGTAAGAAAAATGGTGTTGGAACTGAATTCATGATGATATTTATCTTTGTCATAATTATTGTCTTTATCATCAGATTCATGGTTTAAATATTCTTTGTCAATTCCAGTTTTACCGTTTTATTTGTTCCTGTTAATGCAGAACTAACCTTAGATTACATAAGACTTTGCATTGCACACCAGCTTCATTGCCAAGCTGGTTGCACCCCACTTGATACAAATCCTGTGGGTGTAACACAAAGAACTAAGTGAATGATTATAAGTGAGCCATCTACCGGGTCAAACACCACCAGTTATCTTATATAATGTTGTATTCTTTCTATTTTAAATGATTACCTTATTGCCGGGTAGTTCAGTCAGTATAGAGACTGACTACAACCTGGGTGATTGGGGTTTGATCCCCGACAGTGTCAAGGTTGAGAATTAGCAGGAGCTGTAAAGCCTCTCCCCTTGAGCACCTACATGGCATGTAGTGGGATAGCTTTCTTCTTCTTCTATGGCTCTCCGGTCCATATTTGGTCCATGGCCTCCTCAATTCTCCTCTTCCATTCAGTCCTATTGTTAGGTCCATTCTGTCTGAGGCTTTGATTGAGGTTTCGAAACATCTTCCTTTTTACGGTGCAAGGTTGTTAGCCTTGTGACCATACTTTTACCTTATTGCCATGCCATGACACATCCTCAGGTTGTGGATGGAGAGTAACTGTGAATATGTTGAATGAACAGTCATAGATAGCTGTAGGGGTTGGCCCTTCAATTTCAGAGTTTGGGCATGGGGTTACTAACATGATACCATGTAGAAGCAGTTATTAATCATCATAGGAAACAAAACTGGACATATTCCTGGGTACAAAACCAGAAGGACAGTATGTTTAGAATCTTGAGTGGTTCATAAGAAAAATGGTGTAAAGATGTGAACTAGATTCAATTAAATCAGCTCAGGATAAGATCCAGTTGTGGGTTTTTGTGAACACTGTCTAAATACCTCTATTCTGTAATATTTTAGCATGAAGCAAAAAGGAGACACCAGAGCAAAGCAGAACAGAGGATTGAGAGAGAATTTGATGAAGAAACAGAGCTGGAGATAATGGAGCCATCTGGGGAAGAACCCAAACCACCTGCTAAAGTGAACATGGGTGTAGTGAGGTCAGAGGTGATGGAGGGGTTGTTCCAGTCCTTTCGTCCGCCTGGAGAACCCAAAGTGTACCTGGAACTGACAACCAGTGAAGCTATTGATCAGAATCCAGGCTGTCCCAAGTGAGTGAAATTGCTAAGAGGTGACTTGTAATGATGGCAGTGATTTAGATGATGAAATCACTTGTGTCTGTTGATCGTATGCTTCCCTTGTTTGTGTCCAGTTTACCATCATATGCATGTTTTATTTCTAAAAATATTCAGAAGATTTTGATAAAATTTGTTATTGGATGTCTGCTATAAAAATTGATGGATTAACTTTTTAGGCTGTACTGGTCCATTGTAACTCATACTTCACATGAAAGTCAAATGAAGATTTATTAGATTTCTCAACATTATTTATTGTACAAAGAAACAGTATGTGGCATAAATTATAGACCTCATTAAGATTTGTAACTTTTATTTGAAACAGCTGCCTTACGTATAAGGTATTTGATTATATTTGTTCCCAGTATACCATAGTGACGAAGTTTTGACAATTATCATATTTACACCAAGAAGTTCCTCTAATAAAATATTCTGAAGCATCTCATAGATCAAAATATTTTTTGAGCTTATTTTTAAACCAGAAAATTTCTTGTAGATTTAAGGAGTCACGTTCTCATGACAGTAAGGATGTTGATGTTGGTCTTTTGTGTCATTATACTGTGTAGGCTTCTAGTTTGTTACCAAACTTTTTAGGCGGTATGTCTCATTTTGCAATTGAAGGGGCTCAGCTAACCTTTTTAAGTATGTCTCATTTTACAATTGAAGGGGCTCAGCTAACCTTTTTCTTCACTGTGAAATGTTATGTTTATGCAGTGAGCAGCAGAGAAGAACAGCTGTCAAAAGATGTGACCTTTATGTGAAGATCTTCTACAACCAGAAAGAAGTGTGCAGTTCACACCTACAGCCTCTGGGTCCAAGATTCAGTGTCTCAATTGGCCAGCTGTTCCCAATCCGCATCTTACAGTGGCCTGAGAGCCTGAAGGTGGAACTGCATGAAGAGGGTGGCACCTTTGCTCATCATCTGGTTGCAGAGATATACTTACCATTTCCCAGCAGGTGGGATTCTCACTTTTGGTTGTAAAGTGTAATCTTGGTTTTATGTGCTTTTTCCACAACATGCACAGAATGATAGGGAGATCATGTCTGCCCCTTTGTCTGGATTCATGTCTTCTCTTTGAAACAACTGAGTGGATTTTGATCAGATTTGACAGTGGGACTACGTTAACATGTTTGGTAAATCTAATTTTGGTTTGTGATAATCAAGTAAAACTCATATTTTACATGAAGTATAAATCAAACATAGTAAGTTTTTTGAAAAACTGCCTATTATAAAAAGTTGGTGTGACATAAAATGTAGATCTTATTAAGATCAACAACTTTCAGTTGCAGTATTTTTTATATGGTGAATATTTAAAAACATGCAAGGAAAGAGTAATTTTTGCCTGTGTAGTGTGTATTGTCATAAAGATGCATTTGAAAAAAATATGTGTAGTCCATTAGAATACTTGTTTCCAAGTTTTCTTTCATGTACAGTAAAGGTCCAAATAGCAGCTCAGGTTATTATTTACTGTCCCTGATCTAGTACCAGCTACATCTTGAGTGCAGGTTCATGTTTAAGCCCAAATATATTAATAAATATATAACATGTTACTTTGGAAGTTTGTTTTAAATAAAAATGTCTACTTTTTAATTGTAAAACATTTAAAACATTCTAGTTTAAAATAATAATTGATTTGTCATATCAAATACTGTTATCATCACAATCATTTATTAGAGTTTCAGATGTTAAATAAAGATTTGAAAAACAAGTTATTAATATATTATGTTTCACAGTTATTAATTTACTTTTAATAGGCACAAATTAAGAATATTTATAAAGATATATATATCTCTCATTGTAAGTAGGAACTCCGTGATCATAGTCATGACATCCAGAATGTTGTATTACAGTGTTGAGATTATGGACTGAAATCCTGCTCAGATGGATGTGTATGTGTTTCTCATTACCATCAGTCATCATACTCTGTACCATAATTCTGAGTTCTGTCATGTGCTAGGATTCCCATGCAGAGAAAATACTTACCTACAAAAAGAATTCTGTAAGGTAAAAGAAATTGTGAACACACAGAAGCGTTCATGGGGTTTATGACCATTCATTAGATAGCTACATAACCCTGACATCCAGAAAAGTGTAATCATAAAAGTTTACAAATTCTTTGGAAATGATTCCCAGGAATGTGTAAATTTGGTGAAAAATATTCTGGGAAACATAGACCTGAATTGTAAAAATGCTATCAGATGTTTATTGGTAGATACAGAACTTGTTATTTTGTGTTAAGTCAGTTTTCACTGTGAATGTCAATGTTACAGTGGCACAACATTACAGAACTGCTCCCTGGAGCACCATGAATTCAGCAGTAACCAAGTGCTGACATTCAGCCATGCAGGTGTTGGATGTGGGACGTACTTGTGTCCATTCCCTGAGGGCAGTAACAAGGAAGTCACATGCCTCTACACATCAGGTGTGTTGGCGTGCAGGGTAGCATGGGGAGTGGACAACAACAAGCATGGAGGGAGGGATGGGAAGATACTTGCACCTCCAGAGAAGTATTGGACCAAGGAACAGAGGTTGGTGAACCTTTACTAATTAACAATCTGAACAAATGACTGAATAACTGACTGAATAACTGACTGACTAACTCTTGGTAATAGAACCTTTGGTTTATGAACTGCCAAAGTTAGTAATAGACATGACCCTGAACCAGTCAGTTGAGTTCACACTTTCTTTATTTATTTCTCTAAATTGTATTTTAATATCATTCTGTCATTGCCATTTTGGTATTCCAAGTTGCTTCTCTCCAAGAGATTTCCTCATCAAAATTTCCTATGCTTCTCTTTTTTCTACCATCTGAGCATTGTTACCTCCTTTATTAGATTTCTCCTTATACTGTTCCTACCACAGATTTCAGTCTTTTCAACATCTTGGAACATCTCTCTCATTTCGGGTCATGCTAATTTTCTTGTACTATTTATTAGAATAAATTAATAATATGCTGCCTCTATTTCTATTCTCTATGTGCTCTGACCATCTGTTTCTGTATTCTTTGACCCTTTCATTTAGACATTGTATATTTCATTGCTTTTGTATGTTTGTATTTTTTGAATATCCTGTCACTGCTAAGTTATTGGTCTTGACTCCTTTATCTCTCATTGTAGTAGTACAGGTATCAATTCTTCTTCTTTTTCCGGTTTAACAATGTTTTCTACATTTTCTGGTACCTTTTACGGGTCCCCAACGTTTTAGTTGGCTTGATCTATGGACATTCGGTAGGACTTCTTGGACGAGGGATCGGCCCATCGCAAGGCCTCTACCTATACACAGGACAGCACAACACAGAAAAACATCCATGGCATGAGTGGGATTCGAACCCACGGTCCCCACGACCAAGTGGCACAAGACCCACGCCTCAGACCGCGCGGCCCCGGTATCAATTCTGTCTAATCCATTGTCACTGGTATTGTTTTATAAATTTTAATTGTATCCATTCTTATTTCCCTCTGCAGTGTGTTATATTGTTCCACTCATATTATTAAATTTGTATGACTTATATTCAGATTTCCAAGATAAATTAAGAATAGCTGAGGCATTTAGTAACCATCTACTCTGTGTCTGGGTTCACGTCCAGAATAGTCTCTGTGGGATGTGTGGTGGACAATTTGACAATGTCTCTACAAATTCCTTCATCATTGTTCCATTTGTTTATATTCTCAGGTTATATTCATTAGTGGTACTATTTAGTACAAACAGAACTGTGTAACTATAAACTCAGTATGTGTTATAACAACCTGGTCGTTATTACTAGTTTGATTCTTAGGTTATTTAACTCTTTCACTGTTAGTGCAAATATGTTTCTGTTTGGTGTGCATTAGCCAGTAATACACATATTGTGAGTGCAGTGTTTTGTCATTATACGTTTCACTACAGTGTTTTTACATTCACTTACTTACTCCATGGAGCCGGTCCTTCCTTAGAAGCCAACAATCACTCGGCCACTCAAGAAATTCACAACCTTTTATGGAATGTTCTTACGTTTAAAATGTAAGAAAATCTACTGTGACCAGCCTAATTACATCAATATACTGACTGAGAGTAAAGAGAGATTAATATTTCAGAATGTCCTACACTACCTTAGTAAAAGTTTTATTAATTCTATTTTAACTTCAGAGATTGTATAGTGTTAAATGAGACTGATAAGGTTCATGAATGGAAAGTAGATAAGGAATAGGAAGGGTTGGTCATGGCCTGTTCAAGGTATTATCCTCATATTTGCGTGGAGAAACAATAATATTCCAAAAACCCATAGGCAGAACACCTGGTAACCCATCCAAGTTTTGAACCAAGTACCCTCTGAATTATATATACCTGCTTTGTGTTGCTATTGGTGTTGTGGATTGTGGTCTTCTGGGTTGTTATGCCATTGGTTCCAACATTCTGGAACTTGAACTGTAGGCGACATGTTCCACCAAAACATTGTTAACCACATAAAATATTACAACACAGAAGACCACATCAACAAATTCACCACCGTGACAGCCTTAGATCTCAGACATTAGAATTTTGTTGTATGACCTGCACAGGGACAGTTGTACAGACCTGATGGCAATGCTTGATGAAGAAGGCGTGATGGACATAGAGAAGTTACGGGAGTGGGCTGAGACGTCACAGCTTGACCCAAATGACCCCAGAAATGCTTCTTTCTTCTACTTAATTAAGGTAATGAAAATATATTTTCTTCCCTTATCCTGAGCCCCATGGTTGTTTAGGATTGTATTTAACCCTTTTCAGATTTATATTACTGTTTTTACATAAATCATTCATCAATCTAAATTCTTTATGTCCATAAATTATTCAGGAAGAAGATTTTCCTAGTGTTATTGCATAGATTTGATGCTTTGCAGAATGCAGGTGTGGGGTTCAGCACAGAACCAAACTATTTTCGCTTAGATCCACTGCAGGCTGAGTTTGATTTCTGCAAAATGGATGATTTGGTTGCAAACTCTCGCCTGCGGTTATTACAGCTGCGGGACCAGAGGGAACCTGAGTTTCGTGGACTTTGTGTTCCACTTCGAGAGAAAGAGATACCAAAGGATATGTTTAAGGTAAGGCAAATTTAGAAAAAGAGGTTTATGAAATCAAATTTAGCTTACCTGTTTTTGGGGAAGAAACTGGCTTTCCTACTTGTTTCTTCATAGTTTTCAAGAAAATATTAGGAGAGTACCAGTACCTTAAGGTGGAGTACAGCTGCTTTGTTTCTAATTTTTTGCAGTGAAACCAGTCACAGTAACACAGTTTCATTAAACATAATCAGCATTATTGTCAGTCATCATAATTAATAATCTTCATATTATTATAAATTTCACTCTCATTCATAACCATTCATGACATCAGTTGCCGTATTAGTGTTGGATGGCTTATATTTAAAACCAAAACACAGGGGATAATTATATTTAAACTAGAAAGAATGACTGCCTACAGATAGGAATATAGTACAATAATAATACTAGAAACATCACATGGAAATTATTGAAATTATGATCCTTTAACCTATGTTGGCTCCAAAATTTGTTGTGGATCTGTTCATGTATTCAGAGGTTTCTTGAATCTAATTTTCCTTGAAAATACATTTTCACATTCTTTTATCATGGTTATCTAACCATGTCTCCCATCTTTTATTCTTATATTAAGTTCAAGGGCTGTTTGTCATACATTTATTTTGTTGTCTTTCCAATAATATTGTTCCATTTTATTATTATCATCATCATCAAATTGTCAAGGAGTTGGACCACTTATTAACTCATTATTCCTCAGTTGTTTACTTAGACTCTTCAGTATTCATCTCATGAATTTTATTTTGGTACACTTTGGTTTCTTGTCCAAGTTTTACTGATGAAAGAATGGCTAGTGTTGTACATATATTTTAATCCTTGTTTCTGTATCATCTTATGGTTTGTATCCATCAGGTGTATGAGAAACGGTTAACATATACAGATTCACAGTTGGAGTCTCTGTCCTCTGATCCATTGGAATTACATCGGGACTGGGGCCAGAAGTTCCTGCAGAAAGTAAGACAGAGGGTATTGAAGCAGTGTCACCTAGCTCAGCAGCATCGTCAACTGCAGGACATTGTCATGGAAGACCAAGTCCCAGACATAGGGTAAATCAGACAAAACCAGGTGTAACTGTTAAATAAAACTGAAAAAGTTTTTACTTGAGTCTGTTGAAAGCATTATAGTTTTATGTGGTCTTTGTAAAAAGTGTATAAAATGAAGTATAATGGGTAGATTGTGTGTGCCCATCTGTGTATCTGTGATATTTTCCTCCAAAACTATTGAACAGATTTCAGTGAAATTTGATATTGGAAGTGAGCACTTAGAATTTTCAGGTAAATTTAGTTTTGTTTTATATTAATCTGCAAGATCTCCTAATTTATATGAAGTTGAAATCAAACATCAGATTTCTCAAGAACAGCTCATTATGCAAAGAACTGACATAAAATTTGACATAAAAATGGATCCCATTGAGACTGTTTATCCACTGTATTTAATGACATGTGA